AAAATGATGAAACATTGTGGGGAAATTTCAAGGTTGTCCAAAATACTGGTTTACATGAAAATATACTATGGTCTCTTTTGGCCAATTTCTCTTTCCTCAAAATTTGGTAACTAACCAACATAGTTGATATTAAAGCCAAATGAATAGCATGCAATTATTTTGAATCTTAGTAAGCAAAAAACTGTAAAATTAAGCTAATATCAAAAGAATAACTAAGCAATTTATGCACCGAGTAACTCATTCCAACACTAGTAAGTTGAAATTCCAAAAAATAAACAAGCCAATAAAGCACATGAATTATCTAACTAAGTTAGCAAAATAAAGAGTGTTACACAAAGCAGATAGAGTCTTAGAGTTAACCCAACCCTAGTAGAGCGTCCTTCTTAAAAAAGAGGAAAAGTCTTGACGAATCTTCACGAATAGGATTTCGTAAAAGCACCTATTTTCGCTGTGTTAATATATTGATTAAATAAATATTAATAGTAAAATTTAGAACACTTAAATAATTCTTCTTAATTTGATAGATACTCACTTTGTTAAATATTTTCAATCTTCTTATACAATTTTTTTTCTAAATAAATATTATTCTCATTAGACATATTTAAATTAATTAAAATAGGATATGCAATCATTTATAAAATTAAATTCCAAATAAATATATGTTATATTCATGAACACAATAAACAAAGTAATTTAAGGAGCATAATTAGTTTGCCCTAATAAAATTAATTATACTTATATATGATGAATCCATATTTTTACTAGTATTTTACTATAGTTTTAATCCATTTGATAAGGAAAATATAATAGAAAAGCAGAAAAATCCAGAAAAATAGAATGATTGAAAGTTTTCTTTTAATATGTAGTTATTTTAACATTTGTGAAATTTTTGCTTAGATCTTAAGAATTTAATCTTGTTTTTGTAGGAATAATCTGAGCAAAAGTCATGGAAATGGAAGATCAATGGAAAGGAAGAGGAAGAATAGCAATTCTGGACTCCAAAACACAAGAACAATGGAATGTAAGTTGGGCGTGATCACTATTGTCCGCGAAAGTGATCACTCCAGACATCAAAGAGGACTACACGCTGGGCGTTAACACTTTTTCCAGTGAAAGTGAGTGTTCCAGAGAGTTATTTAGAAGAACAAACTCTGCGTTAACACTTTTACTGGCGAAAGTGAGTGTTCCAGAGAGTCAGAAATTCAGCGAGCTCTGTGTGGTCACTCTTGTTGGCGAAAGTGAGTGTTCCAGAGAAGGCAAAATTTCAGACAGCTCTGCGTTACCACTCTTGCCAGCGAAAGCGGATGTTCCAGAGAGGAGTGAATCAAGGCAAGCTGCGCGTGGTTACTCTTACTCTCGAAAGTGATCACGCGCAACCACTCGACCTCCTGCGTTGCAACTCCTACCAGCGAAAGTGATAGTTCCAGTTTCCAGAAACCACATGAACTTCTGCTTGGTCACTCTTATCAGCAAGAGTGATAATACACAAAATCGGGATTTCTATAAATACATGTTTTAAGCTCAGAACTCGGGATCTTTTGCTCATTTTCCATTTTTTCTGTTAGATTCTCGTTGAGAGAGAGTAAAAGAGAGGAGTGGGGTCGAATTTCGAAGCTCCAAGAAGAGGCATTGGATTGGAGCTCGTGGAGATAGCTTCTCTGCACTTCTTCTCTTCTTCTCCTTCTTTCTCTTCCTTTGTTTCAATGTTTGCTTAATTCTTTGTAGTTAGGAGTTTATGGAACTCGAATTGATGTATTGATTTGACTCTTGCTTCTGAATTTTGAGTTCTTGGATTAATTGAATTGTGAATTCTGCTGTTATTGTAATCTATGAATAGAAATTCGTATGATTCATCAAAGAGGAACAATTACCAATGGAAGTTGGATTTGCTTCTCCGATCTGAGTTAGCAATCAGAATTTGGGGATTTCTTAGGGATAAAGAGACCTAATTCTACAATCCTAAGGTTCTAAGTCTTAATGCAACTTGAAATTGAACTTCACCTAAGGGATTAGGGTGGTTTAGTTCTTGTTAGGGTCCAAAGGGATTAGGGTGGTTTAGTTGCTTGTTAGGGTCAATGAGTTAAGGGATTAACCTTTGGCTATTAATATGCGAAACTGATTGTCAATTAACCAAGTTCTTGAATGTTCAAAGGCATAATTGAATCAATATTGACATTCTTGTGAAGTAAATTCCTAACTATTCTTTATTCCTATCTCATTTCATCACAAATCTTATACTCTATTTTTTTGCAAGTTCTTTACTTTTTAATTGCTCTGGTTTATTGCTATTGCATGTTACATCTCTCCTTCCAAATTTGTATGGCTCAAATAGTTATAATTCTGTGAATTGATACTTGAAATTTAAATTCCCTGTGGAGAAGATATCTTGTTCTTAAAAATCACTCATTACTTACTAGTGTTAGATTATAAACAACAATATATGGTTAAAAAAATTATTCTAATATCTTCATAATTATTAATTAAATAAATATTAATAGTAAAATTTAAATTACTTAAATAATTATTCTTAATTTGATTGATACTTACTCTCTTAAATATTTTCATTCTTCTTATTACAAATTATTTTCTAAATAAATATTATTCTTAAGAAAACAAGATTTATAAACTTTTTTAGAAAAACAATAATTTATTTTATACATTTATATATAAATTATAGAGAAAAGTGAATATTTAAGTAAAATAATATTTATTGTTTCATCAGTAAATCAAACTTATATTTATAATTTCAAAAATCATTCTTCTCAAACACGAGCATCATTCTTATGTAGTCTTTTTTTTTTCACTCTCATTACAAGTCAAAATAAATATTGTTCTCCTTTTTATTTCTTGTATTTGACTTTATGATAACAATTAAAAATTTATTCTCTTTCTCTTTTTAATAAATTTTCTTGATTAAAAATAAATTTAAATTTAAAATAAATATAAAATCTACTGTTATATACATTACTTACTTTACAATAATAACATTCATTTCACCACCTCTTTGGTAGTAAATGCATCCTTAACCTCTTCTTCAAAGATTTTCTTTACAGCTTCTTTATAATAGTACATTACAAAAATATTAACAAATAACATTAGTTATATACAAGAATAAATATTATTTTTAGTGTAATTATATAATAAAAATAACTCTTTACTTTCTCATGAGTGAGTTAGTGTATATGTTGAAATGTTTATATTATCATATTTTTGTCTTTTATTTGTAATTTAATAATTAAATACTATATATAAAAGTATGCACTTATTATATATTACAACTACTTTTTTTTTTAATTTCACTTATAGAATTAGTTTTTGGAGGTTTGTTTAAAGTTAGTTTTTGGAATTATGTGGTATTGAAATAGGTTTTGAAAACTTAATTTTGAAAGTATATTTTACCTACTTGGAAGTAGATTTTATGGACTTTTGAAGTTTAAGTTTTCATAAGCCAATTTTATACAAACTTTAAAAATTTAAATTCTAGAAGTTAATTTTATATAATTTTTGGAATTAATTTATGAAAAAATTCAAAAATATAATGAATAAGAAATATGGTATCGTTTATAATGACTACTCATTAACACACTTACAACAACTATAATTGAAATTTAATAAAAAAAAATGTCAATATAATAGTGTTGCATCGTTAAATAATACTAAGTAATTGATTATTAGAAACTAAGTAGAGCATGACTAAGAAAAAGAATTACTATTACGTTATTTTGAAGGATATTATATATTAACCGTGTTTTTGGAGTATTGGTTAGGAGATTGAAGGTGAAATTTTTTTATTTAAAAAATAATGTTAAAATTAAGATATATATATATATATATATATATATATATATATATAATATTTTTAAATACATTTTATGAAAAGTTTGAAGAGATTTTAGGCAATTTTATTTAAATAATGTAATTTTAAAAACTATTTCTAAAAATAGGGTTAATTTAAAACTATTTTCTTGTCAGGAACTTTTTTTTGCCACGTAAATAGGTGTATAGATTTACAGAGGATACTATTTTTTTATTATTTTTAAAATAGTATCGTACATATCAGGTCGATACCCACTCCAGTAATAACACGTGTCAAGCGCAGAACGAGTATCTTACTTTTTTGGACGATAGTGCTATCTCTACTTTTGCAGTGACACTGGTATCTCCATATCAGGTCCGATACTAGGTGAGATATTGACATGTGGCATTAATTTAAAAATATTAAAAATTATAATTTAAAAAATACTTAAGATTATAAATTTAAAATATTATAATTTAAAAAACATTTAAATTTATAAATTTAAAAAATACTTAAAAGATTTTTGAAAAATGAGATACTCGTTCTGCGTTTGACACATGTCATTAATAGAGTAGATATCGACTTGATATGTGCAATACTATTTTAAAAAATAATAAAAAATAGTATCGTTTGTAAATCTATGCTACACTCACTTACATAGCAAAAAAAAAGTCTCAAACAGAAAAATAGTTTTAAATTAATCCTATTTTTGAAAATAGTTTTTAAAATTACATTATTTAAATAAAATTGTCAAGATTTTAGCACTTCTCCGATACACTCACTTACGTAGTAAAAAAAAAGTCTCAGACAAAAAAATAGTTTTAAATTAATCCTATTTTTGAAAATAATTTTTAAAATTACATTATTTAAATAAAATTGCCAAGATTTTAGCACTTCTTGAAAAACTTTTCTTACACTTTTTCTTATCTTTTTTATTTTTAAAAAAATATTTTATTTCAAATTTTAAATTGTAAAAAATAATAATTACTATTGGACAATAACATTAATTATTTCTCATTTTTTACATTGACATAGATCATGTGAGCACCTTACAAAATAAGTTGTTAGGAGCGAATTATCCTATCATAAGGTATTTTTAGAACAATATTTTACAAAAATTATTAATAAAAATGTTTAAAGAAAAAAAAAAAAAAAAAAAAAAACTTACATAAAGCTCCACGTGCTCGTAACAACGGTTAACAAACCTGACTTACGAATCATGGATGGTGATCCCCAAAACCAAAATTCTCAAGTTCTCAAAGTCCACCTGGTTACCTCCACCGACTCGCCCCAGTTCACCCTCCTGGGTGAGGCCTTGTCTCGGACCTCGCTCGTGGGCCTAGACGCCGAATGGAAACCCGTCCGAACTCTGCAAGCGTTGTTCCCCACCGTGTCGCTGCTCCAAATCGCATGCGGTGACTGTGGAGTCTTTGTGCTCGACTTCTTGTCCCTACCTCTCTCTTTACTATCGGAACCATTGCGACAACTGCTGGTGTCCCCTGACATCCTCAAACTTGGATTCGGATTCAAGCAGGATTTGGTATACTTGTCTTCCACTTTCAGCTCCCAAGGTGGTTTCGACAAGGTGAGACATAACTCTTATGCATATAAATGAAGATTTTAAATTTTCTGCTTTGCTCTCTGCGTTTTGTTACTTAGATATTTTTCAATTGTGGATAGGTTGAGCCGTATTTGGATATCAGGAGTGTCTATAATCATCTGCAGCATAATAACAAACATGTACCCAAACAAATCAAGAGTTTATCAACTATATGTGGAGAAGTGTTGGGGTTTTCCCTTTCAAAGGTTTGTTTCATTTCATAAGCTATTCAACTTGAATTAATGTGTGTAATTCTCTGCTTTAGGTCAAATGACTTTTCTGTTAGCATTTGCGAAAGTTTCTGTTTTATGTATAAGTGGCGATCGTTAGGTTGCTAAATTGTTGCTGTCAATGTCTTTTCTACTCTTTTCTCCTATTAATCTTTCTTTCTTTTCCTTTTAAGAGAAACTATACTGCTGGAAGCTACTTGTTGCATGTTGTTCTTCCTGTGTCTTGATTTGGGTTGGTGAGAAGAAGGAATGACAGGTCACCCATTGGTAAAGTTTATATTTAATTTTGTTAGAGTCAATCATCCCAAATGTTTAAGCTATCATATAGTGGCAGAGGAATATTAGGGATTTAAATTTCTGTCATGGTCCCTCACACTATGGTCAGTTTGGTTTGAACCATGGAGAGGAGGAAGAAGTTCACTTTTACGTTGTGATGAAATTTACTTATGGATCAATCCGAGCACTGGGTTATTGAAGTCTTATTCAAATTTTAAGTAGTTACTTAGTTCAGGCATATGAATGGTTTTATATCTCTTTACTAGAATTTTTTTCTTGTCAGACATAAATGTGCATATTAGTTTCATCTCTGTGGGTAGTAGAATGATTATTGACTCTGAGAAATGTATTCTGTGCTTAATTCTAGAAGATTCCGGATTGCAGTCAAAATTGAAAATATTTTCTTTTTGCTGTATGCAAATCCTATTCTTGGATTCAGTCAGATATTGTAGTAACAATTGTCAATTCAAAGAATGATAATTCCCCAAACAACAATATAGTTGTTGAGAAAAGTATTCTCTGTCTAGATTTTAGAAGATTCCAGATTGCAGTCGAAATTGAAAATATTGTCAATTCAAAGAATGATAATCCCCCAAACAATAATGATTTTACTTATCAAGGACTGGTTGAAATACTTTCAGAGTTAATCTTCAGTAGGCTATCTTGAGTCAATGATAATCTCCCGGTGCATTTTAAATTTTGGCTTTTAGATTGGCATTTATATACTTTTAGATAAAAGAACATGTTCACTATCCTATTTGCTGGATTATATCAATCAGAATATCTTACCTTTGCACCGTGATTTCTGAAGATATTTGTTTGATCACAAAACAAATATTGTGAGTTGCAGATTTTTATGTTTATTGAGTTTTCAAAGGCTAATAGGATTGACCTCAATACATTAGAAAGATAGTGCTGTTCATATTTTTGTATCTAAATAGAAACAGAATGAGTGTTTGTAATAGGGCATGAAAGGGGAATCTCTTATTTGCTTAAGGATGTGTTTGTGATCCCTTGGAATTTCAGGATGTAGAGTTGATCCAAATGACATTTTTCAATTGCTATAAGGTGTTAACAAAACTTATATCTGCTTTAGGAACTCCAATGCAGTGACTGGTCATGCCGTCCTCTTTCAGAAGAGCAGATAACATATGCAGCTATGGATGCTCATTGCTTGCTTGACATATTTGCGGTCTTCCAGGCAAAGGTTGCTAAAGAAGGTTTGTAATGTCTGAAAATTTTATGCCACTAACTCTAAACAAATTAAGAGCCTGTCATTATGTTATTTTTATTTATTGAAACATTTGAAATTATGTTTATATTGCTTGATTGGAAATTTGGTCACTCTAGTTTACCAAAATTGCATATTCTTACTGAGTTTCACTTGAAGCAATGCTGTTCTCTTATTTTTTAAATAGGAGCAGTTTGACTGGTCACAACCAAGGTAGTCAAAATCGCGTTTTGAATTGTAGAATCATACGATTCTACGATCTCCATCCATGTCTCCGTGCTGAATCGGTGCTAGGAACACTAAATGGTGGAATCGGTGGGATCGTTCTTGCTGGGTCGTAAACTCGTTGAAGACGTGCGATTTCGACGTGCAAAGATGAAAGCTTTTTGGGCCAACGACCCGCGACCCGGCCCGACCTCATTTAAGCTTTTGGAACCCTAAAATCCCATAACCTGCACTGCGACTTCTCCTTTCTTCTTCACTCTGTTCTGTGAGATTGGGCGTCACTATTGTGCGACTTCTCTGCGAGGCTCCGGCGACTGCGATTTGGTTCCGACGACTGCGATTCAACTCCGGCGACTGGGCTTAGCTCCGACGACTGGATTTTTTCTATGATTTGATCTGGGCTTTTTTGCTTTTTGTGCTCTGTTTTTTTCTTCTTCATCTTCATCATCTTGGCTACTGCGTGTAATTGCGATTTTCTTCATTTTTCGCTTCTGTGCTCTGCTTTCTGTTATATGTGCTACTGCTATCTGCGACAAAATGGCTTCAACTAGTAGTCAAGCTCCTCCCTCCAAGTCATTACCAAAGAATGCACCGGGAAACAAAAGTGATGTAGCATGGCAACATGGGATTGTAATTGAAGGTACAAGAAAAATTCAATGCAAATATTGTCAAAAAATTGTAAGTGGAGGTGCTTATCGATTGCAGCATCACTTGGCCCAAACAGCCAAAGATGTTGGAGCATGCAAATCTGTTACGGATGAGGTCAAAAATCAAATGTGGAATTTACTTGTAATCATGCAAGAAAATTTGAATAAAAAATCAAATTCCTTTGCTAAGAGAGAAACTTTAGATACAACTGATGGAAGCAAAAGAAAATCAAGTGAGAATGAGGTGACTGGAGGAGGAAATATTTTTCGGAAAAGGACCACCCAAGCAACAATTAACAACATATTCAACAAAACTAGAAGAGAGGAGGCTTGTCAAGCTATTGGAAGGTTTTTTTTTATAATAATGCCATATCATTCAATGTAGCAAGAAGTAATGAATTTTCTGTTATGTGTGATTTAATTGCCAGCCATGGTCCTGGATTTAAACCACCAAGCTATCATGAAATTAGAGTAAAATATTTGAAGAAGGAAATAGAGTTAACAAAGGAGAGATTAGAAGAACATAGAGCTGAATGGAATATTGTTGGATGCACATTAATGACTGATGGGTGGACTGATAAGAGGAGGAGAACAATATCGAACTTCTTGGTAAATAGTCCTAAAGGAATTATTTTTTTGAAGTCTATTGATGCATCTCATATAAAAAAAACAGCTGATAAAATATTTAAAATGATTGATGATGTTGTTGAAGAAATTGGTGAGAAAAACGTAGTCCAAGTTATGACTGATAATGCAGCAAATTATAAAGCTGTAGGGGAGATGTTGATGCAAAAAAGGAAACACTTGTATTGGACCCCTTGTGCAGCACATTGCATTGATTTGATGTTGGAGAACTTTGAAAAGAAGATACAGATTCATGAAGAGACAATTCCAAAAGTAAAAAAATTACAAACTACATTTATTCAAGGCAGGTCTTATTTCTCTATTGCAATATTTTACCAAAGGCAAAGATTTGATAAGGCCAGGAATCACTCGTTTTATTACATCTTATTTGACTCTAGGGTGCCTTCAAGAAAATAGAGCTGCTTTGATAAGAATGTTCACATCTAATGAATGGAAGTCCTTTAAGTTTGCTAAGACAAAGGATGGGAGAGTTATAGAAGAATTGCTTTTGGATAGAGAGTTTTGGAAGAATATAATCACTTGTTTGAAGGCCACATTTTCTCTTATCAAAGTTTTTTGAATGGTTTATTCAGATTAGGAAACTATGGGCTTTATTTATGAGGCAATAGATCAAGCTAAAGAGAATATTCAAATTGCTTTCAATGGTGTTAAGAAAAGGTAACTAACTATAACTACTATCATTTTTAATTAGTCTCCATTTTGTGATCTATGTTGTATTGTATATTGAATCTTTGTTATTTGCTGTTTATCAGTTACATACCTATATGGAATATCATAGATGAAAGATGGGATAAACAGCTCCATAGGCCTTTGCATGCTGCAGGCTATTTTCTTAATCTTAGGATGCACTATAGTCCTAAATTTAAGGCTGATCTTGGAGTTAAGCGTGGACTATATGATTGTTTGACAAGAATGGTTCTTGATCAAGATGAACAATGTAAAATTGATTGTCAACTTGATTCATTTAGAAAGCGAGCTGGTAATTTTGGGAGTCACTTGGCTAGAAAAACTATTGATATGCGTCTGCCAACTGATTGGTAGATGTCTCATGGAAATGAGTATCCTGAGCTTCAAAGATTTGTTATTCGAATACTATGCTTGACATGCAGTTCTTTTGGATGTAAACGTAATTGGAGTGCCTTTGAGATGGTAAGTAGAAATTCTTTTTTTTTAATATTACGTACTAGGCTAGCCAACTATTTTTTTGTATCTTAAATCATAATTTAATATATTATTATTTGATAGGTGCATACTAAAAGAAGAAACCGTTTGAAGTAAAATACAATGAATGATGTGGTATTTGTTATGGCAAATTCAAAATTGATCAAGAAGAAGACAGCTAGGAGAGTAAAGGATCTTCACATAAATGTAGATGATATTCCATCTTACAATGAGTGGATAGTGGAAAATAATGATAGAGGAAATCATGAAGATTTGGGCCTAGAAGACAATTTGGAAGATGAGGATATTGAGGTTGATACTCTTAATGAAGATGAGGACTTAGATTTAGATCAAGGTTCAAATCAAGATGTTAGTGTTGGTGATGTTTCTAATATAGACAATTTAGATGATGAAGGAGATGATGGACCAAATGAAGATGATGAAGGATATGATGAATTTTTTAATTATCAAAATATTTTAGATATGATAAAATAAATATTTAAAGTTTGGATATTGATTTTGTATTTTGTTTAGAACTTTGGAATATGTTTATGTTAGACATGTTCTTAATATTCATCTTTTAAAGTAATGTGGTTTGAATTAATGTTTTTATTTTCTTCCTATTTATACTATTTTATATGTATATCTACAATTTTGTAAGATCTTACGTTTTATGTTACGATCTTACGAGTTACGATCCTGGACCCCCTCTCCGATCCTACGTAGAATTTCGATTTTGACTACCATGGTCACAACATTTGAAGGAATATTCCAATGCAGCACTAGAAATAAAGATGACAGAGGATAATGTAGTGTGATGCTGCAAAGATACATGGTCAATTCTTAATGAATTGGGCGGCTTGCATGTTGATATGAACCCCATTTGCTCAAGGGCTGACTTAGGATCTTTAGGGTTAGAACCTTATAGAAAAATTAGAAAATTTAGTGATGAATTTCTGGACAAATTAGGTGTTGGTTCTTGGTGTTAAAATGAATGAAAAAGGAAGCAAAAGCGCTGGTTTGGTGGTGGCTGGACAGAATTTTAAAAATGACATCTCGAGTTATAGAACTCCAATTGAGGTGATTCCAAAACGAGGTGAAAGTTCTCGTTCTGAACTTCAATTTAGGCTTAAGAATCACTCAATTTGGGCGAGTAGAACAAGAGTTATGACTACAAAAAATTTTGGGCAAAACTGAATTTTCTGAAATTTTGGTTGTACGAATGGTGGAAGGAAAGAATCACTCTTTCCAAGGAAGGCAACACACAAAGGGAAGTGAAAGTCCTTTGATACAGTCAAGGTGTTTTTGAATCACTCAAGAATTTAGGAGAATCACTCTTACTAAGATAAAAGAGATAAACTCTAATATTTCTGAATCAAACTTAACTTACTTTATTGATAAAATGGTTCAGCTTATATAGAAGTTTTACCATCAGAATTACAAAGGTTTTCAATAAAGGAAAATAAATTTCACTTAAGCTAGTAATGATCTACTAACCTAGGGAATGAAAACTAGTTAATAACTTATTGTAACTGAAATTATGGCAACCAAAAGTCACCTAAAAGCCACTAGATATGCGCCTTCTTGGTCTCCCAAAGGTTGATGTCTAAGTTGCCAATTGGGCCCTTATTACAACTTGAAATCAAACTAAACTAAAGCCCATTAGTTGATTAATCCCAAAACATAATTTGGTCAGCTAACTTTACAAAGGATTGAGCCATTATTTAAAACAAACTAAACAATTAAAAACTGAAGCAAAGTGGCGCATTAGTCCTCCTCCATTTGGGCCATGATGCAATTCACAACCTTAGTCTTTTCTCCTTGAAACTTAGGCTTGTATTCAATTAATATAGACAGCACTTGTTGAAGAGCTTCCTTTGCTTTCCTTACTCTAGCCCTTGTCATAGGTCCTCCAAGTCCTTCAAGTGGATCCTTGCCCTTGCTCATGGTCATGTCCTCATCACTCTCTCCTTTTTGAGAAGGATTTGTCCTCAAATCGGATTCTCCATCTACATTAAAAAGAGACAAGTTAGACACATTGAAGGTGGAACTGACATTATACTCACTGAGTCTTTATAGGTTTATTTTTGCCAGTCCCACCCACCTCCTGTACTACCATCAACCAATGAAGGGACTCCATCTGACTCATTGTCGGCTCCAACTCATTCACCTCTTTCGGCCTTGCCTTTTGAGACTGATCTTCCTATTGCTCTTCGCAAAAGTATACATTCCACTTGCAATCTTTCTCCACATTATGTTGCTTTATCATATCATCATTTGTCTTCTTTACATATGTGCCTTTTGTCTTTGTATTTTGTTTCTATTCCTAAACATCCAGATGAAGCTCTTTCACATCCTGGTTGGCGTCAAGCTATGCTTGATGAGATGAGCACACTTCAGAGCAGTAGAACTTGGGACCTAGCTCCCCTTCCAGCGGGCAAAATAGTTGTTGGCTGCCTATGAATTTACACAGTTAAAGTTGTCCCCGATGGGCAAGTTGATCGCCTTAAAGTTGGCTTGGATTATGGTGACATTTTCTCTCCAGTGGGTGTTCTCTTATTCTTGTCTATAGTTGCCATCCACCATTGGCCTCTTTATCAGCTTGACATCAGAATGCTTTTCTTCTTAATGATCTAAGTCTATATGGAGCAACCTCTTGGTTTTGTTGCTCAGGGGAGTCTTTTGGATTAGTCTGTCATCTTCGAAAATCCTTCTATGGCCTTAAACAGTCTCCTAGGACATGGTTTGACAAATTCAATACTGTAGTCCAACAGTTTGGGATGACTTAGAGTGAAGCAGATCATTTAATTTTCTACCGCCACCCATAGGATGCATTAACTTGATTGTTTATGTCAACGACATGGTTATTACTAGTAGTAATCATCATGGCCTTACACAGATAAAGCAACACCTATGTCACCATTTTCAGACAAAAGACCTTGGTAGACTTCGATATTTCTTGGAAATCGAGGTGGCACAATCCAAGAATAGTATTGTTATTTTCCAAAGAAAGTACGCATTGGATATCTTAGAGGAAATAGGTTTGATGGGTGCTAAACCTGTAGATACTCCTATGAATCCTAATTCCAAACTTTTGCCAAGTTAGGGGGAGCCTCTTTTTGACCCAGAAAGGTATAGGAAATTTGTTGGGAAGCTACACTATCTTACTATCACTCGCCCAGACATCTCTTATGCAGTTAGTGTGGTAAGTCAATTTCTTAATTCTTTCTGCGAAGGATACTGGGATACATTGATTCTCATCTTAAAATATATCAAAGGAGCCTCAGGGAAAGGACTCGTGTATGAGGACAAGGTTCATGCTCAGATTATAGGTTACTCTGATGCAAATTTGGCAGGTTCTCCTGTTAATAGAAGATTTACTTCTAGCTATTGCATTCTTATTGGAGAGAATTTGTTTTTTTGGAAAGGTAAGAAGCAAAGTATAGTTGCCCACTCAAGTGCAAAAGCAGAATATCAAATCATGGCTTTAGCCACATGTGAACTTATCTGGCTAAAACAACTTCTCAAAGAACTGAGATTTGGAAAGATTACACAAATGGCACTTACTTGTGATAACCAAGCAGCCTTGTATATTGCTTCAAATTTAGTATTTCATGAAAGGACGAAGCACATTGAGATTGATTGTCACTTCATTTGTGAGAAGATCTTATCGAGGGACATCACAACAAGCTTTATCAATTCAAATGATCAACTGGCAGATGTTTTTACTAAGTCTTTAAGAGGTCTTCGAATTAGTTACATATGTGACAAGCTTGGTGCATATGATTTATATGCTCAAGCTTGAGGGGAGTGTTAGAAATATGTAAATATGGAAACATGTAATTATAGTAATGCTGTAATTAGGGAGATGATATGCTGTTTTAGGGAAATGATATTCCTGTAATTATGGTAATTAGGTAACTATAATATCTCTGTAATTAATTTTTGTATCAATGCTCCTAATATAAATATATGCTCCGTTGTGTAGTTGAGACACAGATTCACTCAATGCTTTTTCATTTTCTTTTCTTTTAACAGTTTTCAACAGAAGAACATGCTATTGCAGGGATGAACTTTTTCAAATTTGAAAAGTAGGATGGAGACAATGCTGTTAATGTATTTGGGATTTGTATTTGCAATTTTAGGAGAACTAGAGGAATGAAAGCCTGAGAGTACAATTGAGCCTTTTGATTTCATTGGATACAAATAAAGATCAAACTTTATGTCATGATTTGACTGATATTTAGTTCCAATAACCCTACAACGTCATAGTGGTTTCCATATCTTACTTATGCATCCACAGAAATAAACCTCATGTAATTGCAATGCATTGGATGAATGTGGAAATATTTTCTGTATATATTTATATTTTATCTTATTTTCAGATCACATGATATATTCTTTCGTTTCCCATTTGTAGTTTTTTTTTTCTAGAAAACTTTTGACATATTTGGTATCCAAGCATTGGGGCATCGTACAGAATTTTTGGTCATCACATGTTGAATTCTTCACTGCAGGAGACCTGATTGTCAAGACTACTGCATTTTCTAATCCTGATGCAAGTCTTGGGTTGAAAGAGCTTTTCAGAAACCATGATATGAGTGATAAAGTCCTAAGAACACAATTTTGTGAGGCTTCAACAATTGTCCAAGCCATTACTTTTTCTGATGCTACCTGGGTAACACCTTTAGGAGGGGGGATGATCCAAAAACCATCATGTTGGGTTACTGTGCCAATGGATGAAGCTTTGTTGAAAGTTGTTAAAAAATATGGTGATAGGATTTTGCTAAATGAGTTGGATAGAAAGCCCAAGACATCAAAAAAGAAAGGAAAGAAGCAGTCACTAATTAATGGGATTAGCAAAGAAAATCATTTTAAGAGGTTTGATGAATGGCAAGGTATCCCACTTTCGGATCCTTTAGTGGGGGGAAATGAATATCCAAAGTTCCTTTGCGATGTTATGGTAAGCATCATAATTATGAAGATCTGATGTCTCCTTTCTTCAAAATTAGATGTTCAGGTATCTGTTTTTTATAGATGTAGTTAAAATTCAATCATGTGTGGAGCACGGAATAAATGATACTTTTTTCAACATTATCTGTGCCACTAGTCATTTGCACCTCTTTTCTTACCTCCTGTTTTATAAATAAGTATTTTTATTGAACTGTTTTATCCTGAAAGATTTTATTTTGATGTAGGATCTGAATTTCAGAATTATTGGGTATTTATAAAATAAAAATGTGAGCATGAATCTGTAAGGAATTTTCTCAGGTGGAAGGCTTGGCAAAACATTTACGGTGTGTTGGGATAGATGCTGCAATTCCTTACTCAAAGAAGCCTGAACCAAGGTTATAAATAGAGTATCATTCTATTGTTATTGTTTGCTAATTGTTGATTCTAGCATATACTCAATTTCACCTTCTGACAGCTAATTTAAAATTATATATATATATATATATATATATGGTAAAACTATCTTTTTTAATATTCAGGGCGCTGATAGAGCAAGCACAAAAAGAGAAGAGAGTGCTGTTGACACGGGATGCAAAGTTGCTAAGACACGATTATCTGACAAAAAACCAAATATATAGAGTGAGGAGTCTTCTGAAAAATGAACAGCTACTTGAGGTATTGTTTCTTTCAAAATGTTAACTTTTATGGATAATGCAAAAGTGATTATGATGTACTTCAACTGAGTACATGGATTTCAGACTTACCTTTGTGTTGGCATTGTCTATTTCTCCCTAGATTTCCACAAGAAATAGGAAAAAAGGTCTCTTCCACCTTAGTTCAAATTTTGCAAAGCAGATAGAAAAATTGTTAGCTATTTCTTCCTTGAGAAATTGTTGGCATGGTCTACAAAGGCTAAAATTGAATATTGTTTCAGGTTATTGAAACTTTTCAACTTAAAATTAGTGAGGATCAGCTAATGTCAAGATGCACAAAATGCAATGGAACATTTATTCAGAAACCATTGACAACTGAAGAGGCTATTGAAGCTGCAAAGGGTTTTCAAAGAATTCCAAATTGCTTATTTGCCAAGAATTTAGAGTTCTGGCAATGCATGGACTGTCATCAACTTTATTGGGAGGTATTGTTTACCAGTTCTTTTTGTTTGTTGAGTTCTTGTTATTTAACGTTTCCTAATACTTTATTTTGCTGGCATTTAGTCAATTGGACTCAGGTCTAGTTTGGGTAAATTTCTAGAGAGTGGGAGAGGGACTGTGGGAGGTTGTTGGTGGGGGTGGAGGGGTTGAGGAGGAGGGAGTGAATGTGAGAGTCATGGTGAACAGGTGAAGGTTGGGGGTGGGTTTGGAAGTGGAGGGAGTGGGAGTGGAAGAGGTAGGGAAGGGACTGTGGGGAGATTGACATGGGGTGGAGGGGTTGAGGAGGAGAGAGTGGAGGTGAGGGTCATGATAGAGGTTAGGGTTGAGGTGGGGAAGGTGGAGCTTCTACTGGTTGAAAAGGAAGGAAATTGGGGAAGAAGAAGAAGGTTTATTTTGTAAATATATAAAATATATTAAGAGTTTTTTTTAAATATTTATTTTAAATAATAAAATATTATAAAATAAATAACATGACATGATACGTGACAGTACTAAGTTAGCTTTCCGTTTGCTAGCTCAGCACTTAACAGGTGAGGGGTTAATGACAGGGACTAAATCTTAAATTTTTAACTTTACAAGAACTATTTCTTAACAAAAATATTTTTAGAGACTTATCACAAAATAGCCAATATTTTTAAGAACCAATAGTCATATTTGCCTTATTATTACTTTCTCTGCTCCTTGCTAATCAAATAAAGGCACCTGCCCCTTCAACCAAACCAAAATAAGGGACCCACTACTTCTGTCACCTACCCTTTATTAAAATCATTTTCCTCCCCTCCCTTGCTTTGAACCTAACATAACGTAAACCAGTCAGATTATACTTTTTTGTTTATGGTCAACACGTTATATGGTCCAGTTATTTGTTTGACTGCGTGCAACGGAAAAGGGAACAGAAATTTCTATGATCTTGGTTTATTGTTTTGTCACTCTATCTAGTAAATTCATTAATGTAATATAGCAAACTTTCTAACATGCAAGGGTTGTGCCTGTTCTTTATACAGGGAACCCAATACCACAATGCAGTTCAGAAGTTCATCGATATTTGCAAGTTAAGTGACTAATTTGAGTGTCACCCACTAACTTTCCATTGAAGAAAAAAGTTGTTTTTGCTTGATTGCACTTGTTTCAATGCAATCTATTCGTGTAATGTAGTTTTATATTTTATATATATTTGGCTATCTCTGCATGTCTTCACTCTTGTTGGCTGATGCTATGTAGAGGAGTGTTAGCAATACCCAACATACTCTTCTTCACACATTAAATATATATTAGTGTGCCGGTAGCATATATGATCTACTGCTATATAATCTACTAAATGAGATCGCTTGTGTGACACCCCATATTTCCTCTTATTTTTGGTGAGTTTGTGAATTTGGATTCCAGTAGTTCTGTAGTTGGAATTTTCTGATACAGGAAGATATGAAGATTTTTATTATCGTTAAACTACACATTAGGAATTGGACTTTGTCTGCAACCCAAACTTCAAAGTAATTATTAAAAAAAAAGAAACCTTTTCAAACACTTCGTAGGACTCGGCTACACAGAGTTAATCGAGTTATTTTGAAGCCCAACAGTAAATATTTCCTAATGCAAGTGCTAGATATAATCCATTAATCATGTTCTTTCATAATCTCATATATACCAATCATTCAAAATAATCTACTTATCATATAGTTATCTAATACCTTGATCTGTGCGTGCGCTCGAATAATCTATAAAAAAGCGTTTTGATCGGTTCAAAAAATTTGTAGCATAATTTATTTTTTTAAATCCAAAATTAGTTAAAACTAGGCAAGATATACTTTTTATTAATAAAGATTCCTGCATAATATTTATATTTAAATTATTTTTATTTATTTATTATGATCATTGTGAACACAATGTTGTCCTGTTATTTTTATTTATTTCTAAAAATAAATAATCTAACCAATTTAAATACAAACAAATATTTCTCTCAATAAAATTAATTTACAAATTAAAAAGACTTATGTATAAGACTTATATATCTATAAGGAGTATTATTTTATGTATAAGACTCACAAAAATATACCAAATATTTTAAAATAGTATAAAAGTAAAAGTTACAATTAAAATTAATAAAAAATATTTTAGGCTAAAATAAAATGTACTTCAAAATATTATAAATAATTTTTTTATAAAAATTCTCTAATAATTCAATAAACAATTAAATATAAAATTAATAACAAATTTAATTTTTCTTGACTTTTAACAACTTTTCAGGATTCCTAATTTTCTAACTAATTAAAGAAAAAGAAAATATATAAAAAGGAGTTACTTCTATAAAGAGGAACTTTTTTTTGGCTATCTCAGAATAAACACATCGTTATTTACATATATCTTTTTCTACCATTAAGGAGGCTATTTCTATTAAGAGTTTTGATCTCTAACTATTATTTTAGTCATAAATTTTTTTATTGATATCATTTTTTACTGATTCTAGTTGCATTGGATTCTACACATTTAGGACTTTAAAATGTATATACAGATCACTAAATTTGGAGTTATTTTTTATTTTCTATGATTTTTTAAAGTTGAGGTAGATTTGTATTTGAATCTTTATTATTAAATAATTATATTTGAGCTTTTAGATATAATTGAGGTCTCGCCATTTAATTTACTCTAATTAAAGTCTATAAATAAATCAATGATGCTCTGAATTAGGTGTGTAATTTTATATTTTGAGACTTAGCTCTTAATAAAAATCTTTGTTTTTATTTTCTCTCAAATTTTTTTATCTTTCTTTTATTCTCGATTAGATTAAGTGCTTTAATAGAAGGTTAAACCTTTCATTTAATTTGCAGAATCTAGATGGTGTAAATCTGATTTGAGTTTTAGACCAATCACTTTAAGTTTGTTTTCTTTTTTTCAATTCTCAAATTTGTGAATTGTGATTATAATTAACTTTTTTATGATTAGAATTTAAATTAGGATTTGAATGATATTCTAATTTGATAATTAAATTTGGGTTAGTGAATTTTGTAAACACAATGTTATGCATATGCGATTAGTGTATAGGAAAAGTGTAATGCATAGGAAAAATTTAAAATAACATTAAATATTCTATTAATAGAAAAATTAATTTTCATAATGGATTAAAACTGTGAAAGTGCATATAAGATTTAAATTCTTAAAATCACCAACTGCATAAAGAGTTTATGTTTTGAAGATCTAAAAAAGTTGAATGTTATCTCAATACAAAAATAACTTTGATGAATTAAAATTGCATCAGTACATGTCAAAATTGTAATTCTTAAAATCATTATCCTCTATATATGATTTACATGAAAAAATCTGAAATAGCATTAAACTATCAATATAATCTTATTAAAATCTAAAATAATAGCTCTGAACATTTAAATAGTAATTTTGTAAATTTTTATAAAAAATTAAATAACAATTTTAAGAAAGCTAATATTATTAAAAAAATAAAAAATTTAAATCATTAAATTATTTTTAAATATATCTATTTGTTATAATATATTAACTCACTCATTCACTATTTAATAGCTAACTCATTTTAACTTGAGGCTTATAAAACAAGTTATTAAAATAATTAATGCTTATAATTTGACTGACCTACTTAAAATCTATCTATTTATGTCATATAAATTTTTTTACATAACAATTAACATGATATTTTAATATTTTATTACTAATTTTAAGGTGTTTGGTTTGTCTGACAAAGATGGAAGTTAAGACTAAAAGTTTTTAATATTTCAAAGTGAGTTAACTATCTCAAGGATAAAATAAGAGTTTAATCATTTATTTAATGATTATGAAATGTATTTAAGAAAAAAAACATTAGAATTGATTGTATATAAAAATTTTATGATGGTAGCTGAGATATTAAATAGAAACAAAATATTTGTCATAAATTACATTTAATAAAATTTATTCAAATTGATTATATATAAAAGTGAAAAAGTTAACTATAGAATTATAATATTAAAAAAATATTAATTATATTTATTTAAATATTTTTATTAATTAATTTAATATAAGGATCAATAAATATGTGCATTAAAAAATAAAATATATTAAAATAAAAATATTATTATTTATACTTAAAAATTATTATTTTGTATATTTTTAAGTTAACAACTTAGCATCTATATCTATATATCTCTGTAAAATTTACTATAAACTATTATTTAATACTTTACATAATTTAATTATATATAAATTTGAATTATAATTAATTTATGATTATTAGAATCTATAAAAGATAATAAAAAATTTAAAAATAATTGATTGGATTTAATTCCAACAATTATTTAGTGAGTATGAAATATACTTGAGAAAAAATTATCAGAATTAATTGTATGAGATGTTAAAAATTGAAACAAAATATTTGTCGTAGGTTACATTCAATAAAATTTATTCCAATTGATATAGAAAAGTGAAAAAGTTGATTATACAACATTAAAAAAAGAAAAAAAATATTAATTACCTTAATTATCTTTATTTAAATAATTTTATTAATTAATTTAATATATTGACCAATAAAAATGGACATTAAAAATTAAAATATATTTAAAATAAAAGTATTATCATACATACTTAAAAATTATTATTTTGTATATAATTAAATTATATTTTAATATGTATTTTATTAATTGTTTTGGACATTAAATTTAGTTTGACATGTATATTTGTTTATATTTTTTTATTAATTAATAAATAAATGATGAATGTATTGAATGTAGTAACTCTATTTTTATTTTATATTTGATAAAAATGCAGCTCCAAAAAAACTGTCATTCTAAAAAAAATGACAACCTTGTTACTTTTAAATGATTAACTATATATTAATCTTTACTGTATAATTAATCTAATAAATATTCAGATAAATAAATTAAATTTATATATTAAAATTAGTATTACTAGAAACATTCAAATAAATAATTATAATATAAATAAAAAAATTTATTACGTTGATTCTTTATCTTCTACATGAATAATTTTTACATAACTTTTTAAAATTGTTGATATTTTTTTTATATTATCTTACTTTATTTTTGTGATTTACAATTATGTTAATTTCTTAAATTATTCTAAATAAGTAAATACATATACTTATTTTATTCATATTTTTTATTTTTAATATTAAAGTATTTATTTTCTACTTATTAAGTAAATATAAAATTACATCACTTTTAAGTAGTACTGTCTATTAGATTTTATTTTAATTTAGATGAATTGTATCACTCAATCTTTCTTTTGTAAACTAATCCAACAATAAATTTAAGTTATTAAATTTATATATTTATTAGAAATGTTTATATTTTACATTTTAAAAAGATAAAATATTATAAAAAATTATAAAATATTTTTATAAAATAAAAAAATCTCATGTAATGTATATATATATATATATATATATATATATATATATATATATATATATAAAGAGATTTCAAACGAGTTGTTGAATAAATAAAATTTAAATAATAAAAAATTAATATTGTATACATAATGTAATTATTAAGATTTATAAAAAATAATAACAAATCAAATAATGAAGGATGAATATATTTATTTTATAATCAGTGATATTTCTAAAATATAACTTTGAAAAAAATCCTGACATTTGATTATACATAAATTTATAAAAACCATTAAATTTCATAAAAGAAAATACTAAAATTAATATCATAAAATCAAATAAATTTTAATGCTAAATTTATAATTACTATTTTTCCTAAAAAATCATATGAAAAACATAAAATAATGGTAATTAATTAAACTTAATTTATAAAAATTAATTTAAAAATAAAAAAATAGAACTACTATGAATATATTTATTTTTTAATTAATGATATTTTAAAAAATAAATTTTAAAAAATACTGAGAATTGATTAAACAAATTTTATAAAAATTATTAAAATTTATAATAAATTATAATTGATATGATAAAATTAATAAGAACCAATATAAAAAAAAATATACATATGAAAAGATAAACTTTATAAAATGCTTAGTTATATATTACATATAAATTGATAAAAAAAAAATAATGTTTTAATTTTGACTTTCTGTTTACAATTTTTAAACTCTTTTGACAAAATTAATTTAAACCAATAAGTATATTTATCCTATTTTTTATTGATTTATGTAAATAATTATTAATTATTATTGTTTAAATGTACATCTAAAATTTTAATTTTTTTACAAAATTATTTTGAACAAACAATATATCTATTTATATATTTATGTATAATTCACTAACAATCATCATTCAGTATTCTCGATATTTATATTTATACTGAAATAACCTTATTATGTATAAAACTAAATTATAATTAATTCATAAATATATATATATATATATATATATATATATATATATAAACTAAAAAAAATGATTATATATAATTCTTTCAAACCATATAATTGTTATGAAATATAAAAGCAAAAAAATATATAATACATGTATATTGTATTTATATGCATGATAATTTTGTAAACTAATTTATTTTTAAAATAATAAAAATATTATAATTTTTCTTTAAAAATGTATTTTTTTATATTTAAAATATAATTTTTAAATTTTAAACAAAATAATAATAAAATTTTTAAACAGACTCACGAAATACACATGCATATTTAACAAATTACTTAGCATATTTAATTTAATTTTAATCTATATATTTACGTTATATTTATATTTAATATTAAATATTATATGTATACTTTAGATTATAATTAATATATAATTACTAAAATTCATTAAAAATAACAAAAGATTAATTAAATTTAATTCTTTTAAAATATTTAACGGTCGTGAAATCTTAAAAATGAAAAAAAAATATTCACTGTATTTATATGCATAATTTTTTAAACTAATTTATTTTTAAAATGATAATAATATAAAATATATTATAATTTTTTAAAAAATAATTAAATAAAACATAAATAAATTATTTAATATTTGAAAATAATTTTGAAACAAAACAATTCAATAAAAAAGATAAAGAAAGCATGTTTACTAGTTTTGAATTAGTTTTTTGTCGACATTATGCGTGGTTTTCCAGTAATAATATTAATAATATAAAGCATCGCTCTTGTCCCAGCCTCTGGGTCGCTTTTTCTCTATCTTCATCACGCATACTTCAATCTTTTTCGCTTTTGTCTTTCTTTGTCCTTTGATTGCTACCATAAATTAATTAATATTCTGCCTCCTTCTCTTCACATCAAAGTCCATGTGGTGTCAGCTTGTGAAGAAGAAATGTAATAAGGATCTTGGTTTAAGCTAAGTGCCCGCAGCGCAACAACCTCACAGTCCTAGTAGACTGCACACCCAGCTACCATCTAATGGGGTCAGAGCAAAATCGATTTCCTCAGCATGAAAGAGTATCTCTCTCACTCTCTCAATCACTCAAAATTATGCTTTATACATTATTTGCCACTGAGAGAAGGGCTTTTGGTGTTAGATCTGGGATTCCTACTGCATAATCTAACACCAATTTTGTTTGTTTATAGTTGGGGATCGCTTTTCATGTTTGTTCATTTCTCTTTTCACTCTTATAAGCAACTTTTTCACAGATCTCACGTCAAACAATTTATTACTTTGTTTGCATTTTCTGTTTCTGGTTATACTGCCATCTATTTTGTCTTCGAGAACATTATGGACGACCATGAATTTGTCACTTCAAGCCCCTCCGAACTAAACTTGGACAGATCTGATGCCTGAATTATTAGTTTCCGAAGCTGCCATATTGTATCATCTAATGGAAGCTTTTTAGAGTAATTCTTCCCCATAAATTAGAGTGAAGAATCCTCTACTTTTCTGTTTAATTTCAAATTTTTGGTCAAAATCAAGATCCGTAGTACATCACATCCACACTTTTCTTTATGCTATGTTGTTTATGTAGACCTTGATTTTGAAACGCTATTGAGATTTCACGATGCTGAGGGCAGGGTTGTTTTTAGTCCTGTGAATATTAGAATCTCATAATAATGATTGAGGATGCAGCCTTAACTTCCAGAGAAACTGCCCATTTTTTGAACATTGACTACAAGCCACTTTCATTTAAAATAAGTTATTTGGTATTTTTGGTTAATACTGGGTTCAGCCATCCAGTTTCAAACAGTTTCTTTTGATTAGCTTCCATGACATTGTTAAATTTAAGAAAAGAACAGATTTATGCTATTGTGCTTTCTATACTGCACTATGATTTTTAGTTAACAATATTAGCACAAATGATATGTTTCACTTCCAAGATTGTTTATCTTGGCTCAGTTAGTGGTTGGCCTAGAGTGTCTATCATTTATCCTAAATTAAGTTAGCACTGTTTTCATAAGTATCCCTTAGAAAGTTATTTATTCTTCTCAATTAGAAATCCTGCTTCTATCCAGCTATCCTGCTCCTCGACCATGTCTCTTTCTCTTTACCTGTTTATCAAACTGTGGATTAACTTAGAAAATTGAAGGATTTCTTTAGTGCTCCAAATCTAGTATGCCCATTTGACAGTGGACAGCATGCAATCAGATTTAACATTTTGAGAAATAGCTTGATGTTTTGCATAGGATCACTGGAATAAATAGGATAGGATTGTGTTGATTGAGGAATAAATATAATTAAGCGTATACTCTTTGCTTCCAGGGTTGAAACATTTTGAGAAAGTATTTGAATTCTTTATATTGGCGAAAAACAAACTAGCCCTGGGGTATATATTAACACCAAAATCTCAGAAGCCAAGTCCGATTGAACTAAGCCTAGTAGCCTACTATTACTAAATGTCCTTGAGAACACCAAACATTTCTGTAATGGGGGAAATTAAATAAACAAGTTAATATTTTCCAATAATTTAGAAGTTCTCAATTCAGTTCAGATAACCATTCTTTTTATGTAGAAAGATGATTATACTACATAAGTATATGTGGAAAGCACAGTAGCAGCGAACCCCAAAACCACCATACTGGTACAATGCATAGGGGGATGGCCACTATTGCAATATTATTTTTATACAGGTTATACAATTTATACTATATATAAATAAATGCTCAAAAATTTAAAAAGCAACTAAAGTTTCATGATATATTTGTAATTAATAATAAAACATCATAGATCTTAAGCCAAACATACAAGTGAATAACAACTGCAGGAAATGAAACCAACATGGCCAGAAACAGAACCAAGGTGACTGGAAATGGGCCTGAGTTACTGGAAAATGGCTGGGGAAGAGGTCTCCAAATATGGTGGGGCATCCTTCAGAGTTGAGAGAGGGTGGGAAAGGAATGAAAGCCCTAACTTTTCCAGGTCTGAAAAGTGGGTTAAATCCCATTTTTACCCTAGAATAACACTGGGAAAAAAGGAGGGTGGGGGGTTAATCCCTATTTAGCATGTGATTTTCCACGATATCACCCACTATTTCAGCCACAACGGCTGTGACCAAAAAATGCTCTGTGATGGCTTTCCAGGAGCAGGCAAGGACCACTCTGTGCCACAACAGCACCATAGAACTCCTATTGCAGGCTATTAATAACTCTGTTGGGCAGTAAAACTATTCTTCCTTTTGTTTATATAGGCTTGCAACTTTCAGTTGTTTTTTTTGTTTCCTTCCAAAAATTTTATGATCTCATTTTTTCATTGATAAGCTCATGCTTTCTTCTTCTTGTTATAATAGAAGGTACTGATAGAAAGGAAGAGAATAATCATCTATACGGGGACAAAATATTCTCCTGAAAAGAGAAAAGAAAACGGATAAATATCAAACTAGAACAATAAATAAAAAAAGAAGCGAATAAAGTTTTCCAATCTCTGCATATTTGTGTGAAAGAGAAGCCAAAAAAACAATCGTATCCCATATTAAAGTTAAGGGTAGAGAGAGATCTTTGAATATATGGCATTTCTCTCTGAACATATAATCATAACCTCCTTTTTCCTGCCAAAACCTTTTAAACGTCTCATTGGAAATTGCACCAAGATGAGAGGATGCACCCAAATCCCAAAGAGATAATTCTACCAGAAGGTGGCTAGCTTACAAATTTCACATTGATACTTACTAGGGGAAAGGACTGTGTGAAGCCTAAAAATTTTGGAAGTGGAAGATATTGTTTATGCTAATGCTGTTAACTATAATTTTAATATGAAGGACCTTTGAGTTTTAGATTTACAGTTGGATTTATCAAGCAGAAACTATTGGTGCTTGGGATAGTGGATTAAGAACTGGGGGGGAAATTACATAAAGAAAACACTAGAAAAATTTGAAGGCCAAATTGTCATATATAGATTCATGTTTGAGATTTTTTAGAACCAAATAACCAAAAGGACGCTGGGTGTTTCTAAACTTTCATAAAATTTTGATCACAGATAAAACCTTTGATCCTAAAAGATATGTCGTGATTAATAAGTGTAAGCTTTTTTATCTTTGCATGCCTAAAAGTTATGGTAACAATTTATTGATAAAATGTGGAACAGTAAAATGATGTAAAGATATATTGGAGGTCGAGTTCTTGTTAAATATTTTAAGTTTCAAAAAGAATTTCAATAGTTGTTTCTTTTCAGATCTACCTGTTATTGATCTCCTTTTTCCTTTGAGTAAATCTTTATTGGCATTGACAGCGAAAGAGATGGGGAGGATGTCTGGGTGCATTTTCTTGTTTTGGTTCACAGAAAGGTGGGAAGCGCATTGTACCTGCATCTCGCATTCCTGACAGTAATGGGTCAGCCTCTCAGCCCAATGGACCTCAAGTGGCTGGGTTGACCAATCAAGCCACAGGACTAGCTCCTTCTCTTTTGGCCCCACCTTCTTCTCCCGCATCCTTTACACATTCTGCTCTTCCTTCCACTGTGCAATCACCTAGTTGTTTCTTATCATTATCTGCTAACTCACCTGGCGGTCCTTCATCTACAATGTTTGCCACTGGACCATATGCTCATGAACCACAACTGGTGTCTCCTCCAGTCTTCTCAAATTTCACTACTGAGCCATCTACTGCTCCTCGCACTCCTCCACCAGAGTTGGCTCACTTAACAACTCCCTCTTCCCCAGATGTACCTTTTGCTCATTTTCTCTCGTCTTCAGTGGACCTTAAAAATAGTGACAAAAGTAACTACATAACTGCAAATGATCTTCAAGCTACATACTCACTCTACCCTGGAAGTCCAGCCAGCAGCCTTATATCACCAATATCAAGGAACTCTGGTGACTGTTTATCATCCTCTTTTCCTGAGCGGGAGTTCCACCCACAGTGGGATTCATCACTATCTCCTGAGAATGGAAAATATCAGAGGACTGGGTCTGGGAGGGTGTCTGGGCATGACAGCAATGCTGTCACTATGGCATCCCAAGATACAAATTTCTTTTGCCCTGCTACCTATGCACAATTCTATTTAGACCAAAATCCATTTCCTCATAATGGTGGGAGATTAAGTGTTTCAAAAGATTCAGATGTTCAATCTACTGGTGGAAATGGACATCAGAGTAGGCATACTAGAAGTCCTAAGCAAGATGTGGAAGAAATAGAAGCTTACCGAGCATCTTTTGGTTTCAGTGCAGATGAGATTATAACTACCCCTCAATATGTGGAAATTTCTGATGTAATGGAGGACTCGTTTACCATGATGCCTTTCACTTCTAGTAAATCAACAATGGAAGAGAGCATAGGGCCTTCATTTATGAAAGAATTCAAAGCTCAGGAGACACAAGTAGCATTGCAGAGTCTGAAAAATCTTAGATTAGATCCAGGTCCAGTTGGCAAGGAAGCAATTATTCAAGCCCCTATATGTCAAGGATATGAAGGTATGCTGTAAATACTTGATCTGAATATAATTTGTTTCATTTCATCTAGAGAAGTCGTTGAAATTAAAAAAAAATAAAAAATAGAGTAATTCAATTCTAAATTAATTATGATTTGGTTTCAATATTATATATACTATCACTTAAATAATTAGATCCATGGTGTGCTTTGCTGTGCTTTACTTTTAATTAGCTAAGAATGTTATAACAGTTATTTTTTCTCCAGTGAGATTTAAGGCATTGGTCATCTTTGTATATTATCTGTAAAAGATGCAGGATAATTTTGTGTGAATGATTTCGTCCATTTTACTGAGTAGGATGTCATGTCGTTTTCTGTATCTGCCTATAAGCAAATATGTTTCTTGCATATGTCAGATCATAAATCACAAGGACATTGTAGCAACAGCTCTGGACTAAGTACACCGGATAACCATACTCTCATAGATGATGAGGATATATTCTCAAAATTGGGGTCATCCAGAATCTGTAGGAAATATCAAACGGGATTGTCGTGCTCTGATGCGGAGGTTGACTACAGGAGGGGAAGAAACTTACGAGAAGGAAAGGGAATGTAATATGGCATGACTAAGAATCAGTTAATCAGTTGAGAACAGATCGTCTGTTATCTGTGTATTAATTTGTAGCTTCCTTTTCAAAAAAAAAAAAAAAAAAAAAAAAAACAGGAAAGAAACTACTTGGGGTTGTCGAATAGATGGAATGATCTAACCCAGATCTAACCGATTTCTGTCCCTCGTGTTTGACCAGATCTTACTGATCAATGAATGTAGTCTCTAATTTTCTTCAAGCGAGTTCAGAATATGCTTTGAGGGAATGAAATATGATTTTAAACAAGGCCCCCTGATCACATGCTTTTGCTCCAACTAAAGTGTTTTCGAACTTATGCAAACCTATACTTTTTACCGTCCATTGGTGCTCTATAACGCGGTATACCAAGCTGTTTCTTTCGTGGAGAAGAAAATTTAACTACTCAAACGTCTCTTTATCCAATCGTGCACAAGTGTGCGGAATAGTTTTACAAATTTTTTTTTTTTGGCTAAAAGTTTTACAAAATTTTTGTAAGGAACGTAAGTAGCTAACTTGGTGTACCAGATGTTAACATCTTTCTTTCTAATGACTGAGTTTCAATTATCTTCAGAAAGTTGAAAAGTAAACTTGAAAAATGCATACATTAGACAAAAGTAGGAGCATAATCTGGTTAGGTTTACGGGGAGGGCGGGGGAAGTTTTCCAAATCAGTTAAAATGAATTAGTTTAGTTTCGGTTAGTGTTTACATTTTCTTAGGGTAATTGTACTTTTATACTCCATATTTGGCGACTGTATCTAAATTTTTGGCATATTAAACTTTTCTATAAATGTTTATCCAATTGCTAATAGAATCCGCTCACGTGGTCTTGCTTGATCTACATAGTATAATGTTTATTTTTTAAATTTTTAAGTTTTCTATCAACGTTCTTAGTATAAACTTCACTTACATGGAGAATTAAGAATCTTACTTCCCTCCCCTATTTTCTTTCTTCTCCTAATTTCTAGTCTATCCAAACAGTGTTAAGGAATCATTTCTATTTTGGTTCTAACTAAGCAATTTTCAATGCTTCTTTGAACGCAAGCGTGGTGTCTTTTTCACATGGCATTGAAATTGATGGAGTTTTACCTCAACCCCAAAAATATCTTGCTCCCTTCAGTTCCTGTGAGCATCTTTCATTTTTTTTTAATTTCTTTATTTAACTATTATTGGTGTTATTCACATGTCATAAATGCTTCATTAATTCCTTGCATTCTTGATCAGGTGTGCAGAAAATTGGTCTTTGGAGGCTACCAAGACAGTTGCAATTGCTAATTATTCAAGATTTGTTAGCTTATTCAATGGATCGTATCGAAATGCTTTCTAAGCCTAGTGCATTTGTATTGTCTATAAATATAAAATCGAAGACTTGTTTTGAAAATTAAGAAGAAAAAAAAGGACCAAGAGTGAAAATAAAGTCCAACACATGCGCGGCTGTGCGATTGCTTAATAACAAAGATCAAACGAGTGATGAATTTGGGTTTGCTTACTAAGAAAAACGTGGCGGTCCAATAACATGGTTAAGCCTTTCGAGCAGTGAGAGAGAGGGAGAGTCAGAGACGTTGATCAACAGAAAAGGAGAATTGAGGGAGGAAGATATACAAACTCTAATCCCGAAGAATGGAGAAACTGTTGGAAGCGTAATCCTAAGATAAAGAAAACATGAATGATGTCATCAAAAATCAATTATGACAAGTATTAACCATGTACAAGCAATATGCCAAAAGAAACAGTTCAACCAGGTACGAAAAATCAATACTTTTTTGCAAATCAAATACAAATAAAATGTGTCGTCATTAATATTTTTAGAAGAACTCTTGCAATATTTAAAAACAAATAATTTACTTAACCAAATTTAAGTTCAAAAGTGTAATTACAAGTGAAGAAAGTATTAGTACTTATAAAAAATTATGACTCAATTATTTTAACATATTTTTTCTTTCAAATTTTTTAAAATATAAAAATTAAAATATTATATTTTAAAAAATTTGAAAGAAAAAATATGTTAAAATAATTTAGTCTAATAGGTTTTTATCTAAATTTCTACTTATATTTATGTATTTATTAATGACAATTTTTTTTAAAGATATTTGTTTGAAAAATTAAAATCAAGAACTCTGTGAAAAAGGAATTATAAGGAAATTAAAAGTAAAAAGTTTTTGAAAGGTATTTAAAAAATTAAAGTAAACTTCTAACAATTTTAATTTTAGAATTTTAGAATTTTTGAATGATAAATAAATTTATACATCATCATCTTTTATGTAATTTAAAATTTTATTATTATTTTTAGATACAAAAAGGTAAAAAAATATTTAGCAGTTAAAAATAAAAAAAAGTAATTCATATGTGTAAAATACTTAAATAGTGTAAGTACTTTTACGATTTTATAATATATAAGTGATAGATTAATATTATAATAAATCGTTGTGTGATTAAAAATATTATAGCAATTTATGATTTATTTTATCTCAAAAATAAAATATTATAAAATTTATATTTAAAAATATTTATTTTAATTAAAAGAGTGTAAAAGATAATTTTATAATTAAAGGTATTCATTTCAATTTTAAAATAAAGTATAGAAATATTTATTTTGAGAAAAAAAATATGAAAACACTACAAGCTTGATTTTAAAATTGACAAATGATAAAATAATTTATGCATCACCGTTATTACTCATTATATGAATTTTTAAAAAATATATATCTTAACTTTTAAAATAGAACAATCAAAAAAATATTTAATTTTTTGAAATAAAATAAAGAATAATTCATATGCATAAGATACTTAATAGATACTGTAGCAAAATTTGTACCCTTACGATGATATAACATGTGAATAATAGATTAATATATATGTCACTATTATAAATTGTTGCAAAAATTAATGTGAATTAATTAAGAAAAATAAAAAATATAAGAAATTTTATTATATTTATTTGAAATTTTACTTTAAAATAGACTTGTTTATTTTATTTTGTTATAATAGTATGAGAAAATTTTATGTCTTAAAATTTATGACATATAAATGGTAGAATAATCTATGTATTACTATAATAAATTGTTATGCTCATATTTTCTCATTTTATGTTACTAAAGATTTGATAAATGAAGTAGTTTAAGCTAATTTCATATGACATGTTCCATAAAAATGAATTTAAAGGATAAATTAACTTTATCAAATTAAGATTCATAAAAAAATTAAAATATAAATGACATTAGTGATCATATTTGATGGCAATAAAAATTGATAATTTAATTTATTTATTAATTAAAATTACTAAGTACTCATATTTTATAATCTAGGTACTATTAAAGTAATATTTAGAACTTCACACTTATCACAATTTCTTTTACTTGGGCTAATACTAATTTTAGTGAAAAGCTACTGAATTAAGATAGTTTATGTAACCCAAAACTTACATAAAGAAAAACTTTTTACATAATGATGAGGTTTACCCTAAACCTCTTGAATTTCAAACCTACTAGGGCTAAGATGTAGCTCAAGTTACGAAACTCATAATTGGATGTTTCATAAATGAGAAGGAAATTTTGGGCACAGTCTGAAGTTTCTTTGGAAGAAAAGGTTATGAATCATAAAATTTAGAATTGAAGAAAATGAACTTGTTACCTTGAGAACTGAATAAGACGGAGGAATTATGGTAAGGATGGCACCACAAACAAGGATGCTTGATAAGCCACAGAAATAGTTATAAGAATGAGTGAATTCTTGATAAGATTAAGATAAAAAATTTGCAAGGAAGAACCCTAGCAGAGAAAATACTCTCTATATTCTGATTTCAATCATGTAATTGTTATTCCTTTAAATGATTTCCAAGTGTTTTTATACAATTCAGTTTAGGGGTTTGTCCACGTGGACTTGACATATGAAAAAAACAAAAAATGCCTTAGCACAAACATAATGTATATGTCCTAGTGGTTAAGTGTACATATCTTAACCATAAGTGCATGGGTTTAAGTCTCATTATAGACAATAATATATATATATATATATATATATATATATATTACACATAATATCAAAATAAATAATAATAATAACAATAATAAAAATTTTTCCAACTTCATATTAAAGTTTTGTGCTCTTCTCTGCTCAAAAGTACATGACCAAATACATAGGCGTGTACTTGCCTATGTAGATCTCTGTTTAGAAGTACATAGCTATGTACTTGCCCATGTAGATCCCTGGTCTTGTTTAGTTTACTTTCAGAAAAATACATGAGCAGATACATAGACATGTACTTGTCGTGTAGACCTCTCATTCCAATTGGACTATGCATGTGTATGCCATATAATTCAAGTGTTGGGCCTCACATTGAGGTTGGGCTTCTAATAAAGAGTTCAACGTGTTTCATGACTTCTCGGACCTTCCTTGTTCTATCTCTTGCCATGGGCCCTCCTAAGCCTTGTAATGGATCTTGGGTTTCTTGTAATGCATGAGCTTGAGCTTAGAATTGGGCTTCACTCTTGATGTTATCATCATTCCCTCATTCTTTGGAAGCATTTGTCCTCAAATATTTTAATTCGTCACCTGCATCATATAAAGACAAATCAGTTGCATTAAAAGTTGTCCTTACTTCATACTCAATTGACAATGATGAATCCACATTTTATGGGATTTTTACTTTTCATTTTGATGTTTCTTAATAGAAAAAGTAAACTTAGGAAGAGTAAATAACATAAAAACATCATTTTGGTCAAATATCATAGGTTTTTTAATTTTTTGTTAATTTACATTGATTTACATATATATAGTTTGCAATTTTGATCATTTGAATAATTGTGCAGGAATTTCTAGATTTTTTTCATGGATTTTTAGCATTTGAGAAAGTTTGAGACAAAAGTGATCACTTTGGATCCCATAGTGAACACTACAGCAAGCTAAATCCAGAAGGGCAGACTAAAGTGATCACCATGAACCCATAGTAACAACTACATAGACCCATTTTGAAGAAGTGTTACGCGTGCTTACTTTGGATCCATAGTAGACACTTTGGAGCAGCCAAAGTTATCACTCTGATACCAAAGTGATAACTCCAGAGAGGCCCAACAACACTAG